AAAGGTACGGGATAGATAGATAGATAGATAGATAGATAGAGATCAAAAAGAACGGGATAGATAGATAGATAGATATTTTTAAAAGGTTGGGATAGATAGATAGATAGATAGATAGTCCATTATCTGAAAAGGTCTGGGATAGATAGATAGATAGATAGATAGATGAATCGATAATTAATGCAGGATAGATAGATAGATAGATAGATAGATAGATAGATAGATAGATAGATAGATAGATAGATAGATAACCAGTCTAAGTGACATATACACACATGATCATACAGATGGTAATTTTATGGTAATTCTTCTGATGAGATTTCCTCTTTGGTATCTAGACTTTATGAATTTAAGCATATTACTAGGTAGATAGATAGATATGAACAGAATGAGATAAATAGATATTAACAGACTGATTTGGATAAATATATAAGACTGGGTTAGATATTAACAGACTTAGATATATATATTAACAGATAGATATTAACAGACAGATAGCTAGATATTAACAGAATGCAATAGATAAATAGAAGATAGATGTGAACAGACTGAGATAGATATTAACAGACTGCGATAGATGTGAACAGATTGATATAGGTAAATAGATAGGGAAAGACTTATTGTGTCTACTTATTTTTATACTGATCCTTTCTAGTTGTCAAATCAATTTCTTGATGTTAAGATGAAATTCATCAAGGAAGGCATTGTAGTTTTATTTAACTCAAGTACTTTTAACCTTTTCTAAGATCATCTGTAGGGGTAAATTATGAAGACAAACATATTGTAACTGTGATGAAATTTGTATTTCATAGTCATAGTGATTTTTAAAAACACACTATGAAAATAATAAACAAAATTCTCTATATCAAAATCAATCAACCAACACTCAACAAAATTTATTACAAATATAGCAAAAACATATTAAAATGCATATAACATTTATATATACTAATGTCATTTTACATTTCTACTACTTCGTTTCAGTGCATTTAGTTGCACCTCAACTGGTGAGAACCAAAATAGTTATAAATAATTCTGTTTGCCTGTTTATGAATAATTTCTGTTTGACAATCAGAATTATTCATAACTATTTTGGTTCTCACCAATCAAGGTGCAGCTAAATGCACCAAAACGAAGTTGCATGTTTGTAGTAAGTAAATACTTTTTGTCTATATGAAAAAAATATAATAAATAAATAAATAAATAAATATATATATATATATATATATATATATATATATAATGTCATCCACAGACAGACTGTTTTGCTGTTTCACAGCTCATCAGTGTGGCTAGACATCCGGTTGCCTCTAGCTAGGATCGAAACCCAACTGAATTGGCGTCAGTCGGAGATTCTACCACTAAGCCATCGGCGCACGGCAGGGATGAAGGTGAATTTTAGCATATTTATTTTTAGAAACACACACAGTGACAGTGACTCAATTCGCTTTTTGCGAAGAGTCTTGCTATATTAGCTATAATAGTTACTGTTTACAAACCCACACCTCTTCCCCAGATATATAGTCTGTCCTAATACATATATATATATATATATATGTGTGTGTAAAAGACAATAGCAAAACTGTAATAGTTGCCAACACATTTTGTTTGATGTTGACTTTTTCAAGGCAGCTATTACAGTTTTCCTATTGTGTTTTACATTTATAAATATTGTCTTTTTCTACAGGTTAACTCTGAGAAATTTCTCATATATATATATATATATATATATATATATATATATATATATATTTACTCTGTTCTAATTGAGTTTATGTATTTTGTTCATCAATCTCATTGCAGATTGAGTGATGAAATTTCCTTTAAATTTTATATTCATACAAATAAAAAATAGAAATAGATACATGCAATTCCAATAGGTGTAGATCATAACAAATATACATATAAACTGCTGAAAATATGAACCTAGTGACACACACCTAACTAGCATCAAGTTGCCACTGTAAGTCATTACTATTTGCTTGACACTGATGCAAAACTCTCACTCACCTCTTGTCAAATTTCAATGAGGAGCATCACATGCTGACTTTAACTTTAAATTGATGCTTAAAGAAAAAGGTCAGTTGGGAAAAGGTAAATCTCTCCCTCATGACTCTCAGAATGGCAAGCAAACAGAAGTCTTTGTCATATTGCTACATTGCAGTCCTATTGGACAAAGCTTCTTGCTGACCCAAAGAGCACCTTGTAACACTAGCCAGATGAGTGATGCCTCAAAGTTATTAAACTTGAGCACCCAAAGCCATAGGGAATAAAATTCCTGCCTTGTCAGACTAAACTCATCCATCAAATCATCATGAATCAGGTGTCAGAGAGGCCAGTCTTCACCTGTAAGAAAAACTTCAAAGTAATTCAACATTTGTGATAGAAGGAGCACTTATCTCTAGGCAAACAATGGGCCTCCCCTTCACTTGAGTGCACACTCCTTATGTGAAACAATACAAAAAGTTCCAACATTGCTCCATTCACCTTTCACCAGCAAAACTTGTGATAGCACACAAGAGATGGATACAAGGCTCAAAAGGAAAACTCAAAACCAGCCACTGCAAGAACAGCCTCCAGAAATCAATGGTCAGTTATATTGAATGTCTTGAACTGATCCAAATTGATCAGCATGGTTTCACTATTGACTTGCTCTTTGATCAAATGTAACAAATGATGGGTTTCCTGAGCAGTAGCATGCAGAAGGTGGAGGCAGAGGGTGTGACAGCCTTGGGCATCCATATCAGGAGGGCATCCAATTAAAGAGTGAAATAATAATTTAATTTTTGAAATTTGAAATTGTCTCTGTTAACTTCATTGTACAAACACCCTAAAGTCCCACAAGCAGGTGTGAATGTGGATCCATATTTTTAAAAGTGAGACCAGAGTAGGACCCCACTACTTGAGTCTTAGGGGCATACAATCAAGGAGTTGGTCTCAGACATCACCATAGCTCTGTACATCACTGGTCCTGAATAGTCCTGCTCTTCATATTATGAGTCTGCTCAGAGCCAATCAGACTGGACAGGATAGCTTACAAATGGCTAAGATCTTGACCAAACTTTAACTCTGTTTATCTTCATTAAGGGCTAAAAATTATTAATCTTACTCCGACCGTTTTTGTCCAACTTGATCAAACCCCTGGTGAAATGTTGGGGTGTAGACCTTTACTTCATCCAGTTGTTGAAAATCAGAGTTCCAGTAAAGGAACAAACACATTCAACTGCCTCAGGTACAATTCATAAAAAATACCATCTCATCCCAGAGTGTAGTCCTGGCCAAAAAGTTTCAAAGCTTGGCAGATCTCTCACACCCAGCCACTTCAGTTATCTCAAGGCAAGGAAAGTTGGTCAAATGTGTCAAACTGAGCAGAGCTCAGACTGGGCTCCCAAATGAACAGCTCCTGAAATTAATTCCTAAAAACCTCACATATTCCCACATTTATAGTCATGGTTCATCCTTTCACTAATGTGATGTTAGCAATATTATTGATCAAAATTCCCTGTCATAATTCAGTGGCCATATTTGTTACCTCAGAAGACATTCTTTTTAACCTTGCTCTAACTATTAAAGCTTGATCCATCTTGATAAGCAAACAAACTAGCTCAGCTCTAGTTACAGCTAATTTCCCACTCCTGATTTAATAGCTTAATCTACTCTAGATTCACATACCATTTGTGCTGCTAATCTAGATTAAGTCACTGAGTATAGTCAGCTGCAAGCAACCAAATTGTAGATAGTAATCCCACTACCTATTACCAAACGCAGCTACCAATAATTACTGCTGTAGTGTTAGTAGTAGCTGTTAATGTAAATCCTTCTAATCAATAAGTTAAATTTCTAAAATCCAGCCATCTAGAACCTTAGGTCTATCTAAATTTATTTGAACAAGCCTATAGTCCAAATAAACTATCAAGTGGAAACTTGGACAGCCTAAGAGCACTGCTCCTCTTGTATACAACAATCATCTATGGGAGATTGCAACCAAGTCTTACCCTTATGACTTAGTTTCCTAGTTTCATCTGTGTTGATTATTGCCTGTGGAGGTAACCTTTTCATTTTTATTATTTGATAATTTTTTTTTTTTTAGTTAAGTGCTTAGTTTGTCAAAATAAAACCATAGTTGCCGAAATTTTATCTTTTATTTTTAAAAATACAAAATATCTCCAATAAAGATGTTTTTTAAAGAAATGTATAGTGGAGGCACAGTAGAGTAATGGATAGTGGCTTGGATTGAGAAATCAGAGAGCCAAGTTCAAATTCCAGTCAAATCCATTATATTCACTTATATGCTAATACCCTTAGGAAAGGTATGAATCCTATTCTTCTCCCCCTAGGATATGAGTAAATAGCAGTACAGACCAGCCTCTATAGCCTTGGATGGCAACTGGTCTACCACAGAAAGAAATGGCAACCTTCTGCAGGAAAAAAAAAATCTGCCTTGTCAGTCATGTATTGAAAGATACATGATCGCCTACACATGCATCACACATGGCATATAACAGAGAGTGACCTCAAACTTTTTGCCTGTAGTGTAGAATAATGAAAATACGTCATGTTACAATCTCTATACAAATGAAAAGTAATACTAAGAATTTATTAATTAAAAAAATGAGTTACTTTTTGATGTAATAAGCAATAACTGAAAAATAAAAACAGCAACCCAATTTTTTTAATTGAAAAATAAAAACAAAAATCTATTTTATTTAAAAATCTATCTGACAATAACCATGTTATTAAAATTAAATCAAAATCAAAATAAAACAAAAAAAAGACAAAAACGGTTTTCCAGAAAAATATTTCCACTTTATACTTCCAAATAATGTACTGGAACGGGGACAGAAATTTGAGGCCAAAACAAAATATAATAGAGGACTAACATTTGTCAATGTGTTTTGCCTGTTATCCCACTACCTATATTTCCACCACCCCCTACTGGAGAAAATTGTTGCCAGGTCATTAGTTTGGTAAGTATAACATGAGGTGCCAGCATCTCCTTCTTCATGGGAAAGGACATTTTTGGCTTTTCGAAAATTGTCATATACTTGTCGGATCAGTAAGCAATTACACTTTGGTAATGGTATTTAATGGATTGCTTATTACTTCTGGTTTCTGTGGATGATTTGGGGAACTGGCAAAGGATAAAAAAGAGCAAAGGACTATAAGAGCAGGAACTGGCTACCCATGTAGGTCAGAAAAAGATTGTAAATTTATTTCAAATAGTTCAGCCCCTTTATTTTATTTTCTATCTTTTTTCATATCTATCTATCTATCTATCTATCTACCTACTATCTATCTATCTATCTATCTATCTATCTATCTATACTGGTCCTTTTCATATCTATCTATCTATCTATCTATCTATCTATCTATCTATCTATCTATCTATCTATCTCTGTTCATATCTATCTGTATACCTTTCATTCTGTTCATATTTATGTTTCCATCTCTCTGTCTCTTAATATCTATCTCATTTTGTTCACATCTATCTATCTATCTATCTCAGTCTGTTCATATTTATCTTTCTATCTATTTGAGTTTGTTCATATCTATCTATCTATCTATCTATCTCAGTCTGTTCATATTTATCTTTCTATCTATTTGAGTTTGTTCATATCTATCTATCTATCTATCTATCTATCTATCTATCTATCTATCTATCTCAGTCTGTTCAAATCTATCTGTATACCTTTCATTCTGTTCATATTTATGTTTCCATCTCTGTCTCTTCATATCTATCTAATTTTGTTCACATCTATCTATCTATCTATCTATCTATCTATCTATCTATCTATCTATCTATCTCAGTCTGTTCATATCTATCTGTATACCTTTCATTCTGTTCATATTTATGTTTCCATCTCTCTGTCTCTTCATATCTATCTCATTTTGTTCACATCTATCTATCTATCTATCTATCTATCTATCTATCTATCTATCTATCTATCTCAGTCTGTTCATATTTATCTTTCTATCTATTTGAGTTTGTTCATATCTATCTATCTATCTATCTATCTATCTATCTATCTATCTATCTATCTATCTATCTATCTATCTCAGTCTGTTCATATTTATCTTTCTATCTATTTGAGTTTGTTCATATCTATCTATCTATCTATCTATCTCAGTCTGTTCATATCTATCTGTATACCCTTCATTCTGTTCGTATTTATGTTTCCATCTCTGTCTCTTCATATCTATCTCATTTTGTTCACATCTATCTATCTATCTATCTATCTATCTATCTATCTATCTATCTATCTATCTATCTATCTCACTCTGTTCATATCTGTCTATCTATCTAGAAAGACATCAGGAAACACCTATTTGATTTTTGATAAATAACAAAATAATACCCTTATACATGATTACACCAAATGCCTTAAACTACTGAATGATTTTGCTTTACACATTTCTAGCTGACCCCAGGCATATTTGTAGAACATGTCTGGAACTTCCATCACCTACTTTGAGTGGCAAGAAAAAAATGAATTAAAAATTTATCATGAGAATATATTGAAAAAGTCCTATTTTAGTTTAGCACTCAATAAACATTAAAAATTAATATCCTATGAAACAGTCATTTCTGTGTAAAAACTTAACACTTATTTCGGTTATGTTTCTGTCCTGTCAATATTGTTATTTTACTTTTTTTTATTTTTTTGCTTTATTTTTCTGTAAAAAATTTTCCATGTATCACTGGTTTTATGCCATTCCATCTCTATTTGCGTTACAGTTTTCGCAAATTGTCTCTTGATGTTAGGGTACCCACCAGCATGCCTTCCTATACCTATTTATCTATGTATATATATATATATATATATATATGCATATAAGTATAGAAAATTAGGAAATCAACCGATTCAGCTACCATGGTTTCAACCTTTTGGTATCTTCAAGCAATTCTGCTACCTTTGTTTGAACCTTTTGGTATCTTCAGGCAATTCTGCAACCTTGGTTTCAATCTTTTGGTGTCTTCAGGCGATTCCACTACCTTGGTTTCAATCTTTTGATATCTTCAGGCGATGCCGCTACCTTGGTTTCAACCTTTTGTTATATTCAGGCGGTTTCGGTCAATTGATTTCCTAATGCTTTATTTTTTAAAATTGAAAAATTTATGAACGCTATATTTTTTAACAATAAATAAATAAATGAATAAGTGCACAACATGAGGTGTGGTAGATGGTGAGGAGGAGTAGGGGAAAATCAAGAAGGTATTGGAAATGTATTAGTGGGGGATTAAATTAAATATACATAAATTCTTTTTATCCCACTTCAAATGAACTCAAAAGGAAATTATATGAAGAGGAGTAGAGGTTTATCCCTTGTTTCCTGATTAGGTCTGGTTTTCCAGTTGCCTTTAAAGTATACTTCAATTCTATACTTCTACTATCTGGAGCTAAACTCTGAAAATTTACTTGCTTTTTTTTTTCCTCAATAGGAGTAGGTAGGTTAGGCTATCATCTGATTCATACATTGGTAACATTCAATTTAAAAGAGGGCTCAATACAAAAGTAGAGCAATATTCTTTATTTTAGGATATTACAATATGTAAAAATGCTACACAAATGCAATCAGGTTTTGATGTTTATCAACACATCTCATCAGGTATTAGTAATAGAAAATTTATTCTGACTTAAACAACATACAACACCTTTTCATGAGAAAATGCAGAAAAGAAAAGGAGTAAAAAGAAAGACACAAGATATAGTCTTATTTCCTGAGAAAAGGAAGAATAAGGAAAAAGAGTAAGAAAGAAGAGGGAGGAGATAGGAGCAAGATTTGTTTTGTTTATATTCAGATCAACCAATGAAAATGGCCTGTGCTAAGTTCAGAGTAAGGGGAAAAACAGAAGTTAAGAAACTATCATAAGTAAGAGGTTATGACACACAGATTTAGACAACCTCTAGACAACATATTCAATACAAATATAACTTTGCTACAATGTTATACATTAGACACATCATTTCCTATGAGAGAAGAAGCATAATTTAACAAGATACTTAACAAACCACATACTCTGTGAGTTAAAAGTTAAAATTTCACATTTTTATAGTTGGTAAATAATACGACTCTTTAAGAAATAAATGTTTAAACAAATTAATCTAACAAAATCATTAAAAATATATAGATCTTGTAAAATTATTTAAATATATAAATCATACAAAATAGAATGCAACTTTTAACTAAAGGGTATTATGTTGGGTGTTAATAAAATCAATCAATGCAAAATGTCAGCCAAACACTTATATCTCTATATTAAATATTACTGACAGTATTAGCAGAATAATGTACAAATTATACTACATCAAAATTGATCTTACTGACAGAAAGATAAGGCTTTTCGAAAATCTAAGAAGCAATTGTCAAATTTCAAACTCCAGCAAGATTGTAAAGTCAAAAGTATGATGTTTACAATTAACCATTAATTCAAATCTTTGATTTAATAAAGATCACTATTCAAGAACCTGATAATCTGCATTTTCTCCTGTAAACATAGAAAACAAGGTTCATATAAGGATCTACATATTTTAAAATTTTCCATTTAACTTTAGGAGTTATTTTTTCATCTTTCAACCTCCAAAAATATGTTGAAAGTGAAGTATTATTTTTATAAGCATTATTAGTAAAAGACAATATGTATTGATACCACCGGGTTTTGAAAGAATTCTTAGTACTACCAATATAGAACTTTTCAATCCTTGGGTTTTCCATTGTAGAGATAGAACTAAGATACACAAAGGATTCAGTTAAACATTTGTTTGACAATAGGCATTGGTTAGGATTCCTACAATTACATTGTATAGTATCCATAACAATATTTTCCTTGGTACTTGCATTATGATTATGATTATTAAATTGGTTTAGAGTTTGATTTTTGTGCTCACTTTATGATTTTCTTGAGATTGTTGGTGAAGCTATAACTGAGTATTAATTTATTCCTATTAAATATTTTACCAAGAAGGTTGCTTTTCGGAAAATGTCTATCGATCAATTTGAAGAACTTATGGTCTAACTTAGTAAAGTAAAAAAGTATATATGTGTGTGTGTTTATGCATACATATGTGTATGTGTGTGTGTATATGATAAAGATATATTTTAAGGTGTGCTATATTTATGGGTTAAAGTACTCAATATTATGGATAGAGTATACGTAAATATAAAAGTGAACACTGAGGTTAATGCCTAGTGGCAACAGCCTGTTTCATGCTTGAACACAATTTTCAGGCCTAAAGATTACTTGGAATTGACCTCAATGTCCACTATTGTGTGTGTATGTGTGTGTTTAAGCTGTTCAAACCTAGGGTTGACCATTATCTTCCACTCCTATACATACAAATGGCCTCCAAACATAACCCTCTACCTTGAGTGACCCCTGGGCCTTGTAAAGGGGTGAACCTCAGTGTAAAAAGAAATATATATATTATGGATAAATTGTCATCTAAATTATGCAAAAATGAAAATAACATACATCTGATTTTAACATATATTTACCAAAATATCTTGAAATACAATATTTATTCAATAAAATTGCCATTGGTTTCAACCACAGGCTCTGGACGGTGTGTGTGTGTGTGTGTGTGTGTGTGTGTGCAAATATATAGAAAAGTAGGAAAGAACACGTTAGGTAAATAATCCGAAGTTCTTTAGTATTTTTGTTTTTATTTTAAAAAAAAAAACAGTGCTAAAAGAGTCTAAATTATAATTATTTTTTTAAAAATATGATTCCTTCACTACATAAGAGTTCTCATGTTTCAAAAGCAAGAGCCAAAAACTCCATTTCATCCTCAAGCAAAATTTTTTAGAATAACTAATCTTGCAGTTTACGCATCTTTATACGCATATTCATTTGTAGAATTAATTACTATGGAAACGGCTGAAGTGACCAGTCCAATAGGGGGCGTAATGGTTAACAATTTGTATCAACATATCAGTCACCCTCGGAAAGAGGCCAAGCCAAGGCAGGATATATATATATATATATATATATATATATATATATATATATATATATATATATATATATAATTATTTTTATAAAAAAATTATAACATAAGTATGTTATAAAATCACTACATAAAATAGCCATTTTGTTTCAACACACCCTGTGTCTTATCAAGTGATAATGTTGAAAATAAAATAAATGGTTTTAATTTTCAGATTAATTAACGATACTACACTAGGGGGAAACATTGTTACAAAAGCTAGAATAACCAATCAAAAACCAAGTATAGAAAGATTCAAAAGCTTGACAACGAAATCATGTTATAATAGCTATTCAGATCTTTAAAATACGTGTAATATTAAAAATAATTCATACTAACCAATAATTATAAAATCATGATAAAATTTAATATTAAAATTAAAACTGGCAATTTTAAAATCCAAATTTAATCACTATTAAGTTTAAAACTACAAAATTATTGAGAAAAGAAAAAATATATATGTTTATTCAATTCATTTCTTCATTGAAATTACGTTCGAAAAAAGACGCTACAATATATCCGGTCATTTGACAATACATGTATATATTTTTTTCTTTTCCCCTTCTTTTCTTTTTTATTTTAAAGTGTGTGAATGTGGTCTTAAACTCACGCACAAAACAACAAAAAACACAATCAGATTATAATACATATATATATATATATATATATATATATATATATATATATATATATATATATATATATATATGTAGGGACTTCCACAAGTACCTAAGGTTTAAAATGCATTTTTAAAACTGAAAAATCTTTCTTGAAGCTTTTATTTTAGTTTTCATTTCACATTTATTTATTCTTTTATTTCTAAAATGAAACAATGAAATATTCTGCTTAATATTTTAATATTTTTCATGTTGTTCGGTATACCAAATCTATGTAGGCACCCTGCTGTAGCTATTGATATTTACTAAACCATTCATTTGGTACTCATAAACTAAAAAAAAAAAAAAAAAATTGTAAACTGTATTAATTAAGGGAACTGAAAAAATAAAAACATAACAGGAGCAAGAATTATGGAAAGTAAAGATTATGGAAAGTAAAGATTATAGAAAGTAAAGATTATGGTTGCACACATAATAACAAGTGAACTTAGATCTATGCCTAAAACATTGAAGACATAACTGAAAAAGTTGAAGACTTGCTATCAATCAGTTTCCAGGGAAAACTACTAAACTGGCATAAACCAGCCAGTGATAAGCTCCATTCTTTATAGCCACCAGTTCAGACCTAGGACTTCCATCCTGTTGAATCATTCATTGCCTCCATATTCCAAATGGAAGGATAAAGTTCCACTCAGTTTTCAATCCAAGAACTGCTACTTTGTTGAAAAGACTTCCATGTGGATGATTTCCTGAACAATATAATCTTAAACTCTTCAAATCTTTATCCTTATCCTCATAATCTTCTCTTTCTACCATCTCCCATTTCATTCATATCACGCACCTATCATAACCATTTTAATGGTAACCCTCTACATTGAGTGACTCTTAAGCCTTGTATTGAGTGAACTTTAATATTTGTATTCCATTGGTGAGATGTAAATTCCACTCAAGCAGCTTCTTCCCACAAACCACTGCTTTGTGGAACTGACTCCCAAGATGATGCTTCCCTGATGACTTCAGTGTTATCCTGTTCTATTCTAGAGTTAACCATTATCTTCCTTACATATAAACTTTGCCTCTTACACCACTGTAAAAAAATAATGATGTGTACAGATAAATGAAAAACTCTGAAAAAATCATAAAAGCAAAAACATAACAATCCTAAAATATCTTTAAGAAAAAAATTGTTGTTCATTAAAATCTCCTCAAATAAAATGATTATTGTCTGTTATAGAAAGTCCTGTTCAAACAAAATTTATAAATATCCTTTGCTTACTTGGAATTATTTTTGTGTCTGCATAATAAAGAAATATTTGTTCATAACATTGTAGACTGGAAATAGATTACACCTAAAGTACTAGATATTTTTTTTTTACAGTAAGGTTCACCTTGTACAAGGCCACTCAAGGTAGAGGGCTAATTAAGAGGCAGTTTATATGCATGAGGAGGGGAGATAACAGTTAACCCTACACTTCAACAGGTTATGATTGTAGTAATCAGGGAAACATCCTCTTGGGAGTTAGCTCCACGGAGGAGTGATTTGCAGGAAGAAGCTGCTCACGTGAAATTGACTTCTTACCAATATGGAAGGAATAAGGGTTGTTTGCTAGAATATAAGTGACATGGCAGGTCCTAGAAGTAAAGTTTAGACCTAGCGGAACCGAAGAATGTATTTTGTCCAAGCTCATTCCATTGTAGTAGCGATAGAGCAGCAAGAAGTTCGCCATATCTCGCCTGTGAGAGCGAAGGTTGGAGGGTGGAAAATAATTTGTCACCTAAACAATCTCTGAAATGATAAGGATATTCACAGAAGTTTATTCTTTATTTGTTGTCACTAAAAATACATTCAATACTAATAATGGTGAATTTAGTAAATGACCTGTCCCACTTGTAAAAAAAAAAACCATATGTCTTGTTTGTGACTTTATGTGCAACCAGCATCCTTTGGTAGGTGGTTGGATGGGTAGGTAATCAGGTAATCAAAATGGTATGCAAAATATTTAATCTTAACCCAGACATATCTTTTCAAATACCAGTGCCACACATGCTGCTGCTGCTTCTTGGAGCAGTAGTAGTGGGAAGAGGTGACACCTAAAAGTTAACAGTACAGAAAACAAAACTGATAGAGCTCTAACTTTATTTGAGACATCTTACCTTCACTTTGCATTAATATGCTTGAAAAAGGCATGAATCCACTCTTCCCTCCAGCTCTGAGTAAACAGCAGAACAGTTGGATTCATTTAGCTTTGTAAAGACTGTTCGTCTTGTTCATACAATAATGGGTCATGTAAGGGTTTATTCTTTGCTGCAGATACCATGTAACTAAATATGACCTGTCATCCAGTGGGGTGGGACTTGAGCACCTAGGACAATTTCAGCTGTTACACCTCTTCCTTAGCCATAAGATGTTATGAATTCTAGTTTTTTGTGTATTTTCTCAGCCTAATTAATTTTTTTGCAACTTTAAAAATTTAGTGCACAGGGCAATCACATCTCTGGCCCTGTCCACGCTACTCCAATGCTGCTACCTGTTACTTGGAAAGAAGATGGATACTGCTAAGTAACCCCACAGTCACCAATACCCCAGGACGTCATAAAGGGGGAATTACTTGGTATGACACCCAAACAATGTAATGAGAAAGGAATGTGCTGCTGCTGCTGCTACTTTTTTTTTTTTAGGATTTTTTTTCCTTCATTCACACTTTCTTTATTTTATTTTTTTTATCTCATTCTGCACTCTCTCTCTCTCTCTATATATATATATATATATATATATGTGTGTGTGTGTGTGTGAGAGAGAGTGTGTGTTTGATATATATATATATATATATATATATATATATATATATATATATCAAACACACACACACTCACTCTCTCTCTCTCTCACACACACTCTCTCTCTCTCACACACACACTCTCTTTTACTTTCTCTTTCTCTTCTTTCACTTTCTCACTTAGGTTTCAATTTATCGCTGCTTTCTTTCTCTTTGTCACGATCTTTCTTTACACACTTTTTAAAATATCTCTCTTACTTTTTCTTGCTCTCTCTCCTTCTCCACAGCTCTTTCACTATCTTTCTGTCATGTATTCATTCAGTCAGTCTCTTTATCTTTCTCTTTTTCATTTTCTTTTACAAACTTTTTATGAACTTTTTTAGCCACATACTTATAGACTAAACTGCTCTCTCTCACCATTTCCTTCACAAACTTTCTTACTCTCTTTTTATTTCATTTTCATATACTCATTCAATCAGTTTCTTTGTTCCATATTTAACTCAGTCTATTCATTATCTATCTATCTATCTATCTATCTATCTATCTATCTATCTATCTATCTATCTATCTATCCCAGTCTGTTCATATCTATCCAAATAGAAAGACATCAGGAAACACCTGTTTGATTTTTTATTGTATCCTCATAATGTAAATCTATTAGACAAAACAAAGAAACTTAAGGTTGAATCTACCATCAAATTTAAGATCTCATTAATACATAGCAATAACAAAATAGATTTTAGAGTTTATCATAAACCCTCAAATAAAAACTGCCTAATTAATTTCTATTCCCACCAGATTCTACATCAGAACCCTTAAAATATGTAGCCCAGAATACTCAGGTGAATAAGAGAAATACATTGAGAAAACATTTAGACTTATTCACTACCCATATCATTTCATCCTCAATGCTAGAAAACAAGCTTACAAAGTTCACAAATTCAAAAGACTAGACACTACTGATAGCACTTCTAACAACAACACAAAATTCATAATCCTACCCTCTAGCACTTTCTACAAAACTTGAAAATAAATTAAGTATTCCTAATAATAGGATATTTGCTATCATGTTCAAGACAATCAGAGATATAATTAGGAAGAAAAATAAATCCAATACCAATTCAGAGGCTGGCACTTATCAAATAAATTACTTACAATGTAAAAACATTTATATCAGTGAAACATCATGCAATCTAAAAGTCCATATATACAAACATAAAAGAGATTTACATTTATACAACCATTCAAACTCACTCATAATACATAGAAACAAAACTGGTCATAACTTTGATTTTACAAATGCTATCATAATTAAAAAAAAGAATATAATTCTTTACACCAAAAGTACTTTGAGGAATTGCTAATAACAATATTACCAACTATAAACACATATCAAAAACATTACATTACATTACCAACCTTTATTAAAGAATCTAATGCATATTTATCTAAAATAAGTGGTATGTACATAAGACCATTCCTAAATGAACATGCGATAAACAAACAAACATAATGTCTACTAGATACACACACTTGCAAGTGTGCATTGTTGTCTAAATCCCACATGAATGGCTGGTGTTGCTATACACTTACGTACATAAGTTGTGTTTATGGTTTTTCAGGGCTTGAAATTCAATAATTTCTTGGAATTTCAAATAGACATAAATTATACTAACATTTGTTTAACAAGTTGAATGTACATGAAACATGGTTAACCAATGAAAATCAAACAAGAGAAGAGTAAAAATACCAGAATTTCTTTCTTCTATTTCTCCATATCTTATTCTCTGATAAAGCTTTAATAAAAATTTTAAACATTAAACAGATTAATAAACATTTCCTATTTGTTCTTTATTTTATCATTTTGTCAAATTCCAATTTAAGTCTATTTTTATCTATCCATATATGTCTATTCATTATCTATCAATCTATTTATTCATCTATCAGTCTCAATTTATTCATTATCTATATGTCTATTCATTATGTATTTCTACTCATTATCTATCTATCTATCTATCTATCTATCTATCTATCTATCTATCTTTAAAATCTTACTTATATATGCATGTTTTAGAAAGTTTATATTTTATTTTGGCTTTAAGAGACATTTATGGATATTTCTTTATTCCTAACAACAATCAATTGATTTTTAATCTAAGCTTTCTTGTATTGTTTTAATAATAATATTTTTAATGACTTTTAACATAATGAATTTTTCTTTCATATTACAAAGCTAGTTTTCATATTTTTGTCTTATACAGGGTGATTTAATCATTGTGTAAGCTTTTCTTTTTATTTTTACTGTTACCAACCAATTGTCACAAAACAAAATATAAAAATAAAATGGTAAAAAAAATGACTTGTTGCCAAAGGATATGGCCAAGTTTTCCACTCTGTTAGTGGTGGGTTTTCTCACAGGGTCAAATAAACACAGATAGGGAGAAATAACCAATAGTGACAAATGACAAACACAGGAATAAGATTTAACAAGATTTAATTATACATTAGAAGAATGTAGGCAATGTCTGCATGTAAAGATGTCTGCAGTGTGTATGATATGAAAATCTAAAGAAACACTATTGTCTGAAATAAAACATGTTTTCTCCTTTTTTCTTTCTCTCGCTTTCTTTTTATATTTCTCTTTTTTTTCTTTTTTTTTTCAGTTCCAGCATTTGCATTCATATTCACATGTCCTGGAATATCTTTTAAATTCTGTTTCTCTTTCTTTTCTGTTGCAAGTTTTGACCCGAAGCAACGGTCTTACCCTTTTCTCAACTTATCCATATAAAATTTCTCTTTCAGTTATGGGAATTCAGTGCCATGTTCATCATTGCTTTCTCCATTTCAATAATTGGATGAATCCCACATGCTCATGTCTTTAGTGATTAATACGTTGAATAATTCACCATTGCATTTGTCCTTGGACTATTTGGCCTATGAAATATATGCCCACATGCGGCATACTGTGTTTGAGTTAGGACTAAGCTTCATTCTCTTCATTATGCAATCCCCTTTAGTTGACAATAATGAAAGAAAGGGTGTTAATTACTCAAGATCCACAGTCCAACTGATTCTTTGGATATTTTCCCTCTCAACTTTTCATATTAGGTCATGTGATTCCGCACATGTGTGTGATGCTATTTTTAAATTTCATCCATTTTTGTTTCTAGGGTCAGTCATTTGTCTGTCCAATTGTTCCTCCGACTACTGACTTCAACAAGTTGATAGAGAGAGACTGCGTGAATGTCACAGAGAGAAAAAGAAAGAGGGTTCACTATAGGTGTGAAGTGTATGGACGGTTAGAGGATTGGATGCATAATATCATAACATTACTAATTTCCTCATCTTTGTAGTTTGTATTTTTACACTGTCCTCACTATATAACACTTTGACCTCTGTACTTGACAGGTACACAATTGAAACATGAAAGAACAAAGCAAAAAATAAAAAGACAAGAACTTCAATTCAAAGGAATCTATAAACAAAGATTAAATTTTATAAGTGTAACACTTCCATATGATTTTATGTTTTTGTTCCTTGCAAATCAAAAAAATATAAGAATATTTTATCAGTTTTTAATATAAAATATTTATTTTATATTTTATTGCTAGTGTTTAAAAATATAAGAACTGCACTAAAAATTTATCCATGCAGATATTTTGCTTCTGTCTCATTTTATCTCGGTACTTCATGATATATGAGAAACATTGTATATCACTTGAAAAATCACAATCTTTAGAGTGTAATTTTCATTTAGGGGTGGATCCGTCTTTCATTTAGGGGTGGATCCTTCTTTTGCAGTGGGTTCTAACCATTGTCATTTTCATTGTATATGATTCTAGAGAATTCACTTTTGGTGATCATTCTACTCTGGAAAATGTTTGGTAAGAAGTCTATTCTCCAATGACAAACAGAGAGCAATTCCTTGATTAACCTGAGAAATGGTCAGATGATGACTGACCAAGTTGGATACATTTCTGAGTCCATGATGGTGTTTTAAGATCAAAGTGCAACTTGCCTAGAATTATTGTTTTGTTAATTATTTTGCATTTGGCTCAATATTTTAAGATGATGACTGACTCATTGACCCAGTTGGACACTTTCAAGTTTATGAAGGTGTTTTAGGTTCAAAGTGCAATTTATCTATAATTATTTTGCTAATGCTTGTGCAGTTTGCTTACAATTTTTCAAAAACACAATATTGAGAGAATTTGGCTGTCCAAATTGTGAAATAGATTTCCTGATCAAAACTAGTCAAACCATTGTCATCATGTCTGGAAATGTAAAACTTTATTACCATAATCAGAACAAATATTTCTTACTACTTACTTTGCTGAAGATCCCTTTTTGAATTTATACATTATACAGTATCTGATATGGATTAGATCTAAATCCTTTTTCAAAAGGGTTAAATAAATACAAAATTTTTCAAAAACTCAATATTGAAAAATTGGTTGTCCAAATTGAGAGGAATCTTTTGATTTCCTGATCAAAACTGGTCAAACCATTGTCATCATGTCTGGAAATTTAAAACTTTATTACCATAGTCAGAACAAATATTTCTTAGTACTTACTTTGCTGAAGATCCCTTTTTGAATTTATACAACATACAATATTTGATATGGGTTACCCTCTCTGATATTAAGAAATAAATAAAATAGACATTATAATGTAGAAGAAATAATGGTTATTTTAATGTAAGTATCCTCAAAGTGATTGTGTTAAAAATGCAGCAAGACTTTCTTTCCAACTTAATTTATATATAAATGTCTTATTAAAGCATAAAAGGTAGAATTTCTAAATTAAGTATTATATCTATTATAAACCTATTTAGCCATTAATGTTTGCATTATTTCTTGAGCACTTCTTAATTTTTAATGCACTTTTATAGGGAGATTATTAACCCTGTTCTACTGAGTTTAGGGTAGAAAGATAAAATATATGAGACTGGTCATTGAAAAACTGATGCAACACAAAGATGACATGAAATGTGCTAAACTCAACAACTATTTTATTCAAACTGCCATTTGAGCTAATAGGAGCAGAAGTGCTTATAATCATCATGATAATCAACATTATTGATGTGGTTATAGAACATCCCCCTTCCTAAAGTAATTTATTTTCTTTATTAATTTATTTCTAACTTTTCCAAATTACAAATTGTTTGAAAATTCTTGTAGTGATCACTAATTGGTAATTACATATTAGGCTGAGTAAGGTTAGCCTGTCCTATCTGAGGTTACAGCTGAGATAAACTGTATCCATAACTTGTTGGCTGAACCTAGGCTGTTGCGTCAACAACTGACTGAGATGAGCTAAGCTGAGAAGGAGTAACCTGTGGTAACTGAGTGAAGCATGGTGTCAGAAGTGGGATTAGAAGTGCTTGCAATCATCATAATCAATAGTACTGATGTTGTTATAGAACAGACCATAAAATTATTTGTAATGATTTTCTACAGTAAAATATTAACAAAGAATTTGCATTATACCTTTAATAACCAATCTATCAGTTTATGCCTATCTTAATTCCTGACCATTAACAATCCCTTTTTTGTTGATTTTCAATTTATGAAATACAGATTGAGTGCTGAAAAAGTTTTAACTGAAAAACTGCAAATCAAATTCCTTTTTTCTCCAACCATCATAAATTTGTTACAGAAAATGACTGGCACAAGGCAGACGGAGTAATGGATTAAGGGCTCAATAATTGGCCATTAAAAATCCAAATCTATTTTGTGATTTTTTCTGTGTTCAAATGCAGATGGTTTTGCTGGATTACAAATATGTTTATTTAATTTTTTTGCTCCTAATTACCCTATGATTAAACATACAAAGATTACAGTGAAGGAAATTTTAAAAATATTTAATGAATATTATTTCTAATATCACAAATTACATAAAAAGTTTGTAAATAAATCCTTTTTTCATTGCAAAAGAAGTTATAATAATCTCTATAGAAAAAAAAACAAACATTTGCTGTGCACTTCTGTAGCAAAATAATATGGTCAAATGATTTCTATATACATATCTATATAAGCTTCTTGTATATGATTTGTTTTGTCACTATATCTGGAATCTTTATTGTGATTAAAAGTTTGTTAAATTGATCCTGCTTGTGATATCATGCCTTACACATATTACTAAAAATACACATATGTTTTTCTTATTACAATGTTATTTTAGTAGGTAAACATGCTTTAGAAATTTCTTAAAAAAGAGTCATTGAGTCTTGCTGTAAAGACCTCTGTAGCCTAACAGTAAAGCACACCTGGCTGAAAGTAGTTTTTCCAAGTAGAAGGAAATGCTAGAACAATCCCTGCTGAAATGTACTTTTCCTTTTTCTTTGTAATCATTTCACCCACTAACAAGGCAAGAATGTCACTAATACGCAGGAGTGGGGGTTTACAAGTGAAAGAGAACTGAGTATAAGGAGGATTAGGGAAAGGACAAAAGATGAACAGGTTTCAAGAAGACAGAAGATGGTGATTGATATTGCATTTAATTTTTTGAATATTGTAATTACTATGGAAGTGGAAGGGAGTTTCACAGGTGGGAAGAGTGAAAAAAGAAACTGTTGGAGTAGAAGTCATAGTAACTATTTTAACAATAAAGAGTGGGACCAAATGCCAATCTACTAGCACACTTAAATTCATATAGTCAGAGCACCAGAGAAAAAATTAATTAGTGCATTAGCCATGAAAATATTTGTAGAAAAGACAGAAGGAAGCCACTGAAGGTGACTGAAGTTGAGATTCCTGGTCAGGATTGATTACATTAGGGATCCTTCTTTGGATTTTGTCAAGAATCTCTAAATGTACAGCAGGAGTACCAGACCAGATATGTCAACAGTATTCAATGCAAGGACGTATGGTAGACTTATAAATATGTAAGATAGATTCTTCTTTGGATTTTATCAAGAATCTCTAAATATATAGCAGAAGCACCAGACAAGATGTGACAGCAATATTCAATGCATGGATGAATGGTAGACTTATAAATATGTAAGATAGATTCTTCTTTGGATTTTATCAAGAATCTCTAAATATATAGCAGAAGCACCAGACCAGATGTGGCAGAAATATTCAATGCATGGATGAATGGTAGACTTATAAATATGTAAGATAGATTCTTGTTTGGATTTTATCAAGAATCTCTAAATATATAGCAGAAGCACCAGACAAGATGTGGCAGCAATATTCAATGCATGGATGAATGGTAGACTTATAAATATGTAAGATAGATTCTTGTTTGGATTTTATCAAGAATCTCTAAATATATAGCAGAAGCACCAGACCAGATGTGGCAGCAATATTCAATGCATGGATGAATGGTAGACTTATAAATATGTAAGATAGATTCTTCTTTGGATTTTATCAAGAATCTCTAAATATATAGCAGAAGCACCAGACAAGATGTGACAGCAATATTCAATGCATGGATGAATGGTAGACTTATAAATATGTAAGATAGATTCTTGTTTGGATTTTATCAAGAATCTCTAAATATATAGCAGGAGTACCAGACCAGATATGTCAACAGTATTCAATGCATGGATGAATGGTAGACTTGTAAATGTGCAAGATGGATTTAGACAAGTAAAATTAAGAACATTTGATGATCTAAATGTTATATTTTCATATTTTTCAGGTGTGCGACTTGCTGAAGGAACACGGAGCAAAGGTAAATGAAGTTGATAATGACGGACGACATCCTTTGATCCTTGCTGCCCAAGAAGGACATGTTGCTGTTGTGTCAACACTTTTGGATCACAAGGCAACACTTGATCACAAATCTCATGATGGTAAAACAGCATTCCGTGTGGCCTGTTTAGAGGGGCATAAAGACATAGCCCACCTATTTCTATGTCAGGGGGCAGACATCAACTACAAAGATGCAGATGGAAGATCAACACTTTATGTCCTCGCACTTGAAAACCGTATTGAGTTGGCATCATTTCTTTTGGACAATGGCGCTGATGTTGAAAGTGTGGACCTGGAAGGACGCAGTGCTCTCCATGTTGCTGCTTGGCAGGGTCATTATGAAATGGTACAGTTACTTTTGAATCATGGTGCCAATGCTAATGCTGTTGATAATGATCAGAGGACAGCATTACAGTCAGCAGCCTGGCAAGGACATTCCGCTGTAGTTGAATTATTGCTGCATCGGCGTGCTAATGTTGATCATACCTGTAATCAAGGGGCTACTGCATTGTGCATCGCCTCACAGGAGGGACATGAAAATGTTGTTAAAATTCTCTTACAGTATGGCGCCAATGCAAACCATGCTGACCAATTTGGGCGTACACCAATCAGAGTAGCACTGAAAAGCGGTCATGTGAGTGTATGTAAGATCCTGGAAGACTATGGAGCTGTGCCTGCGAATGGAATGAAATCGCAGAGCAGCTCTTCAAATTCCAGCAACGACACAAGACATTCGTGTGATGCCAGTGGTGCTTCCCTGATTGGTGCAAATGGCAATCTTCTAGGTAGTTCACCATCCGACTCTTCAGAGTTCACCTTTGACCGGAGAAAATCCTACCACTCAAATAATTCTGTTTCTTCAAAGTCTCTGTCAAATGTAACAACATCCACCAACCAGAGTGTTCAGTTAGTAAACATGAAAGGAGATCGTGAATGTCTGACATTCACGCAGCAACTTCAACAATGTTCTATGGCCAGACACAGGTCTCGACCAATCAGCAGGATTCTCTCCCCAGTCAGTGAGCCACAAAGTCCTGTCCAGAGCCCACCAATCTCTCCAAATTGTGAAACAGACAATGGGACAAGAAATACAAACACAAAGTTATCCACAGGGTTCCACACTAATAATCTAGCCGAAATTGATGCCCAGAGTTCCTCAACAAAGTATACCTCTAGTTATGAACCAAACATGAATAATTTAGCCCATTCACCAATTAAGTTTTCTGGATCTAAAAAGGAGAAAATCTCTGCCACAATTAATATCATCACTAATCCTAATGCAGAACTTCTGTCCTCAGGAGATGAACCAGTTTGGCAAATCAACCCAAATTTCCCAAACTTGAGCAGCTCCTTAGCAAAACTTGAGCTCCAAAGAAAATGTGGCCTACCAGATGGTGCCTCAGCAGCCAATTTTATGGGACAGGCAGGATTAGAACTAAGATCACCAGAAACACGACGAAAACGTAATGGAATTGTTACAAATCCAAACTACACAAAGGGGATTGGAGTGAATGGACATTTAAATAAATTGTCAGATGAATCAATGGATTGTAATGCTGCCTGCACAGGTGCACCATGTGGGTCCTCAACTCCAAGCAGAAACACTACTGAAACTACATCTTCAACAGGACAAAAAGGAAAAAATGCTCAACGCCCTAAAGGTTTACCATTAAAGAAAGAAACACCTCTCTGATTAGGTAAGTAATTATTTTCTTTATCCTTTTATTATTAATCAATATATGTTATTCATATTAATGGCTACTCACTGTGCCTATGGAAATTCCACAGAGTTTTTATAACACTGGTTTTTAGATTAGGAGCATAAAAACTATTTACTCACTGTCAAGATTGACGTCATTACTTATGTTTTTTTGCAATTTTAATTACTCATGTGAAAATACTTTTGACAAGAAGTTCTTAAATACCAGGTGGAGCAGAGGATAGGTCTGAAAGATAGATTTACTTATCAAAAAATATTTACAATTACAGCTTACACTTCTAAATATCCATTTTTTTATATATATTCAATTAAAATATACTGCTTTGTATACTATACAGGTAAATGTTCTAATAAAGTCTATGGGAATTGCTAATAAAATTTCAGTTAGTCATGAACATGTATGTACATATAAATTATTTTTCAATTCTGTAGTTTAGTTAAATTCATGGAAAACCTTTGCAACTACATCAGTGCATCTTCATTTGTGTTCTTTGGTACAAAGATAAACGTCACACCTGCTAGAGGAATATATTGTTTCAGAATGCAAAGGCAAACTTATCATTATACTGTCAATCTTCATTCTGAAACAGAACAAAGACAATATGGCACTCACTATTAAATTAAAATTGAATAAATTTAAATATGAATAGACCAGATTTTTTAACCAATCAATTATTAATTAAATGAAATTATAAATAAATTTCAAATATGTAATTACAATTAAATTTAAATATCAAATCAGGTAACATCTTAAAAAAAACAATGCTTTATAAAAAGTTTAACACCAATTTTGGGTTTCAAAAGAATTGGAATTGATAAGTTTAATTAAACTTTAATTAAAATAAAAGGCAAGATAAATTGCTCAGCAAGGCTTACAGACATTTAGAAAAGGGATAATAGGCATATTTCAAAATTAGATTTATACAGAGGGTTGACTATTCAATATATTGCATGGCTTAAAGTTTGATTTTATACAAATAAAAACTCAAAAAAAGATCCTTTTTTCAAGGTACATTCAGAAAGGTAAACAAACTAAGTAGTTACTATACTGTACTATAATACTATACTATACTATACATAGAAAAGAGAGGCAGATATATGGTCTTAAATAAAGTTTTTACTCACAAAATAACCCCAGATCAGGTTAATTTGTATCCCTAAAAAAGTGTAAAATCATTGAATGGTCTATTTCTATTATGTACTTCAGAAGTTTAGGGGACTGCTATGTTTACAATAAAAAATCATAGTAAATCGATCTGTCCACAGGAGTGGTCACCACATAAATATAAAAATATACAGGAAGATATTGACACCAAAAACTGAATTACAACAAAGGCAGAGTTCTTAATTAAAAGGCCAAAATTTATTATTGGCAACAACCAACAACACTTTACAATATGTACATTTTTTGATTTGTAAAAACTGAAAGCAGTCACCACTTGGTAAGTGGTGAAATACTAAAAACATGTAAAAATGTTCCAAAGTGTGAGTGTGTATATATGCAAATATAGTTAATTTAATGGTCCTGAAAAGGAGCAAGGTAACCACATGCAAGTGGTAAGTCTTTAGAAATGTTCATGTTTGATGTAGTCCTTGATGAAATGGAAAGTTTGTGGTTGAAACTCATTAACATTGAAATTAATAAGGCATCAGTGAATGACAAGTCTCAGTTAATCAAATGAAATCACTTGAATAAAGTGATTTATGACTGGTAAGTAAAAATCCAAAATGGTGATGTGCTGAATGAAGAAGATGTCAAACAAGGCATACCAGTAAGTAAATCCAGAAATTGGCAGGAAACCAAATCAAAGTGCCGTGTTACTAAGTAGAATTCAATATGGCAATGTGCCAATGAAAAAGAGCACCAAAATATGGTGTGGTTGCTTGATGGTGTATCTGCATCTTTCAAAGAAGGAAGTGGTGAAGGAAGTGGTGAAAAGGAAAGAAAACAAAAAAGGAAGGAGGACTGCTTCAGCATTTAGGTGGAAGTCACTTCTACTTCCTTCTGAGAAGGATCTGTACTGTCATAATGATGATAAGTATGGCACAAGGCCAAAAAGGGGGAAAGGGATTGAAGCTGATCTTCACTATCTTATACCTAGCTAATCCAATTCACAACACATTCACTCATCACAATTTGTGCATTCACAACAAAAACTTGTCCGTCGCCAGTCAATCCTCCATACACCATAATACCACATCCTCTCAGGGGGACCTACAAAAAGCACCCCGAGAGGTAAAATTTGATAATAATAAATATTTCATAGATAAAAATCTAATATTTGACAATGAGAGGGGAGGGGATGAACCCAAAAACAAACTAAATACCAATACAAAGCCAACTAAAACATAATTGATGTTAGTAGGGCCCCGTCCAACCCTCAAAAAAGAGAGGCCGCTGTATTCTGCCCATTCGACAAAATGAAGAGGCTCTCTCACTAAGGGAGAGGGAAAAGGAGAAAATATATACGGACATGGGAAATATATGAAGCTGACCCAGTTGAGATGAAAGGGGGCCAAAACAAACTGGAGAGGTTGGGAATCTCAACTTGGATCATAACCAAAGATGTAGCCGGGAGCAGGCCAGGAACAATACTTACTCACATTAAGTAGGTACACAAAAGTTTGTCTAGCCTAACCAGGGGAGGGCTCCACAGGAAACCACCCCGATGTGTCATAGGTTGAATTAAAAGAGAAAATCAAGGTTAGCCCTGTTCAAACAAACCAAGCTCACCTCAGTCACCCACCTTTCACTAAAGTCTGTCAAATGCAAGCATTTTCTATTTTCATCTTGAGCTGATGCTCAAAGAATCAGCTCAGATGAGAAAGACGGTTGCCTCGCAAGACTTCCTCCAGTCACATCGTCCAAATCAACATTTGGGCCGTGACCAGCAGTGTTAGAAACACCATTTGTTTCACCCCAGAATATGGGAGCAACACATTGTCACAAGTGTATGTGCAATCAATGAGCACAATCTTTTTGGGAACAATACAAGTCGTCAGCTCGCTGACATGGTCCCATAAGGGACAATGGTAGAAGGTGAGCAAAGCCATTTCTTCCAGGCCAAGGTCACATTGTTCACAGTCTGGCAAATCCACCAAGCACCATATGAAGATTATGTCATTGAGAGACAGCCTATTCCAAGCCAGTTGCCAGGTAAGCGAAAATTCAGAGTTACTGAGGTAATCCACTGCTGGCGCCCAAGACCAGAAGGAGCGAAACTCCTCCGAAAAGTCAAGCCACTCACATAGAGGATCCTTTGCAGCCCCCTCCACTAGATAATGATAGAAGAGCCACCTAGGCTGAGAAAGGTCACTGGACTGAGGAATGATCTTCAAGGCATACTGACGCTCATGAAGGAAACCTGATAGACCCTGTGGCTTACAATGGCGCCCAGCCCATGAGATGGGAGGATTGATGGTAAAGCAAGGAAAAGCATCCCTTACAATCCCCGCCATAATCAAATCTGTCAATGTGCCACATAAGTAAGCCAACCTTGAGGTGAGCTTGTTACTTGCCAAGTGTGGCATTCTCAGCCCCCCATAACAGGGACGTTGTGCACAGACTTCTCTGTTGATCTGATGCTTGTGTCCCCTCCACAAGATGGAGGATAGTAAGCACTCAAGTAGCTTCTTATGATCCTTGCAGAGAGGAAGTACAGCCAAGCAATAAAGGACAAGAGGAAAGACGTAATCCAGCAGCAGAATTCGGGTTCGAATCCACCGGCCTGCAGGACAGCAGCAAGGTGGCGATGGTCAACCCTATCAAATGCTTTGGACTGACCTAAATTGATCAGCATGGCCTGCTCATTGTCTTTTACACCCTCTATGATCATGTGGATCAGATACAGGTTGCTCTGAATTGTCCAGCCCCTCAAAGTGCAAGTGTGCTCAGGGCTCAACAGAAACTTGGCAACTGACTGCAAATGCTCCTGCAGGATCTTGGCCAAAATCTTTAACTCTGTGTTTAGCAGAGTTATGGGCCTATAATCCCACCTAACACCCTTGCCCTTTTTCAACAGCATGTTCACACCCCTGGTGAACCAGTCAGGGACGGCCCCTGCTGGAACCAGTTGTTGAACACAACAGTCAAAATCAGGACAAAGGTGTGCAACAGCCTCAAGTACAATTCATAGGACAAACCAAGATCTCTCCCTTGCAGCTAACTGCTTCAGTCGGCAAAAGCCGAGGAAAGTCAGCCAAATAGCTGCAAAACTCATCGTCATGGAGACCAGGCTCCTTGATAAACCAGCTATCAAAATACCACTGAAATGCCTTACACATGTCGTCATTGGTACGAAGAGTATGCCCCTCTGGGGTTTTGACTTCACAAATGTAATGACCATAACCCCGATGGATCTCTTCCTTGTGCAGCTTTGGAGGCCATCTTGCTTAACCTATGTCCAATTACTTGGCCCATATAGTGCTCGCTAGTCAAATGCTCCAGGGCCTCACTAACTAAGGCTATCTCTAGGAGATCCCCTGAGCCACCGCCCAGGAAAAACTATCCTTAAGCACCTTCTCCTTGTTAGCTCTATCTAGGGTGAGCTGTTTGCTAAACTCAGTGGTGAAGGACCTAATCCTACACTTAAGCCTCTCCCACCACCCATTCCTGATAACCGCCCACACTAGCTCCTGCTGCACTAAGTTAGCTGCTCCTGGAAGTCCTGTCTCTTCAGTAAAGACAGATTGAACTCCCAGTAACCAGCCATTCTAGGCCTACAATCTAACGCCACCTGGGCACAAACAATTTGTGGTCCAAATAGCATACCCAGTGGATCGTGGGACAATCTAGCAAGTCTACATCGGCTCCTCTAACTAACATTCTATCCAGGTAGCTAACCACCTGGGTAGATGGCCAATTAAGGGTCCACATCCACATTTTTCCTCTGAGTTGATTGACCCAGTATCTATCAAAGAGACCAAATTTGTTGATCAGATCCACCAATCTACAATCGTTCTTTCCCCTGCTAGCTC